AATGGTCACTCTTGGCTTGGGCCTAAGCTACTTTTCAACTTTGAGCGCTTACAGACAGAAAGGTGAGAACACCTATCAGTTGTTAAACAAAGACTCCACAGTGATTGTGCTACTACTAAGATAAATGGGGCAAGTACGTCCTCAGCCCACGTTTTTTTTACCAGTGCTACAGTACCCTGCAAACCTTACGAGGTGAAAGTTTTCGGGGAGAGATCAAAAGAAAGCCTTGTACTACTGCTTGTACATGTGCATTCTCAGGAAGTGAATGAGCAAGTTGGTTGCAGTTTTGTCCCTGGACCTCGGGGGGAGAGGGAGGGAAGAAAAGAGGAAAACAAAGCAGTATCAGCTCCTTTGCTCACATCACGGTGTGTAAACCGCGAATTCAGAACCACTTTAACCTAAACTCACAGAAGAGACAGCAGACTGAAAAATGTAGCTGGTGTCAAGCAAGGGTGACAGACGACCTCGGCCCCCTTTCTGCACATCCAGCTGCCAAACCTCTCCTAGCTCCTCCTTAGCCGAGGTCACAGCTTTTTCCATTGCAAATCTGGGAACACCAGGAAGAGTGTGTGACGGCCTGAAATAAATGGAATACAAACAGAAGGGGCTCGGGTAGTGATGGTGTTTTTCATTTGTACATTTAATGAAGAATGCCATTTGTTCAGTCATAGCTGCTGAAGATTGACAGACTGCCAAAAAACCCAGAACATCCGCCCAGATCACCACAAAATACACCGGGTCGCCTGCAGATGCTCTGCCAGCACGATGCTGATTTGTAAGAAAAATTGTTCAAATCTGCACATACATAAAATTTTTTTTTTAGCAAAGAACTGGCTATTTCAGGCTTCTGGGATGTCTTAGTTTAAACTGTTCTCCCAATATTAAACTGTTACTTTTAAAAAACAAAAAAAAAAAAAGACAAAACCAGCAAGAAATAATATGGCAACAGGTTCAATGTGTGGTTTGCTTAAATTATTGACCGGTATGTGGAAAGATAATTATTATATTACATTTCAGTCCACTGCAAACAGTAAAAATATCAAAGGTCCCAAAATTCAGTCTGAATAAGATATATTACTAAACCCACCACCCCTATCCTAACGGGCTAAAACAGTGCATCTAACAAAATCACCCACCCGATCATTAAAGAAACAGCAACGTTACTAAGAACAGCTCACTAAATATACAGAACTACGTTATCTAGGTAGAGTTTATTGCAAAACCAGGAAAGAGACAGCAAACTAGAAGTCTGTCTTCCATTTCAGAGTCGTATCGCTTGTTCCAAGTTTCAACCACTCACGCACGCACACGCACGCAGCCTGTACACAGAACGTCGCTAACACAGTTGAGTTCCCACAGTCTCACGAGAAACCTTAAAACATTTCAGTAAAAAGTTAAAATGAGATCTTTTACCACAAGGACTATAAAATCCCGCCCTCCCCCACTATCCTTGAATTTCTAAGTTTTGGATTCTAAAAACCATACATAAAAAGGAAGAGTTATTTCAGTAGCACAAAGACTACCTTAAATATATCAAAGTAAGTCTAAGGAGAGTTAATGCAACTGAAAAAAAATAAAAATGAAATGAAGACCTGCGTCGCACGCAGTGTTTTCATCAACACTGCCGATAAGCTCTAAGTCTCTAAATGTAGTAGAGCGTTGGTTGGTTTTGATTAACTTTTAATTCTGAAGTTACATAAAAAAAAAAAAACAGTTGTAGCAATTCTTCCGAGCTGCTAGTTTCATGAGGAAAAAGTCCCTTTTGAAATTTCAATAAATATGCCGACATGTAAAGTTAGTTGAAGTTGTCATGCAAGACAAGTTACATAACCAAGACCAACTCAATCTTTATAATAAAGGCAACTTGCATTCAAAAATGAACTTTACCCCTTACTATTTTATTCAAAGGGTAAACATGAATTAACCCAGCTGTTTACCTGAATTACAAAAGTAACATGATTCAATATGAAAATAAGAAACTGTCTACAAATCTCTGACAGTAATAAATTGCAATATACAATGCATACAGGAGTTATACAGAGCAACAAACTCTTGTACAAAACAAAAATACTTTAATACCTTTAAAATCCAAATTTTTTTTTAAAATTATCATGAAAAAGATTTGAGTCAGAACTCACACCTCAATTAGTCAAGCTTCAGGTAGCTACATTACAGCTATTTAATATACAAAGAGATAAGTCTCTTCACCAGTCATTAAAACTGCCTCTTCGTTAGAGTTGCACAGCTTTTCCGTCTCGTGTTCCCAGATACAAAGTTTTCTTCAAATCATGAGAATTGAATTTGTTGAACACCAGAGATCTAGGGAAA